CAGCCACGGACGGCCGATTGGTGTCGTGCCGACCTCGGCGTCGGTTCCTGACACCGCAGAGATCGTTCAACCTTGAACGATCTGCCGTTTCCGAAACGTGAAGCCGTTCAACATCGACCGATTCTGGGACGCCGGGGGCGCTTAACGTTGAACGCTGGCGGCGGGGTCGCCGCCGGTCGACACGACGCGAACCGAACCGTACATGAGCACGCCCCCCAGCTTTCAAGGCCGCCCTCATGTCACGAATGCTCGCGTAGCGCGCTGTTGCGAAGCCCGAGTGGGCTTCTGCGCGCGTGCGCCTGTTTTCCGCTCCTGAAATCAGCGAGGATCCTGTCGCCACGGCTGGACACGCCTCGGCATTCTGATCAGCTCGCGCTCCAGGGGAGGTCTGGGGGTCGACTCCGAATTCGAGCGAGGAAGATCCTTTCCTGTACCACCACCGCCGCGTCGCCGCCTTGCCCGAGACATCTCCAAGCGGCAGATCGGCGAGTCCCTGACATGTGTGTCGGTATCCTGTCTCCTTCCGTCGAAACGGGGGATGGAGGAGGGATTAACTCGAGCTAGGTGCGCTCCTCGCCGAGGGGAAGGGGGAGGGTGGGGGCGTAGCGACGGTACCGTCCGCGAGACGTCCTGGTCCTGAAGCGGGAAATCCTAAAAGGGGGCGTGCTGGCTTAGGGGGCGGGCGGGGGAGAGAAGAGGTGAGGAGGGAGAGGAGGAGTGGACGCGGGGAGGGGGAGAGGAAGAGAGAAGTGGATAAGGATGGGCGGAGGGTGGAGGAGAGAAAACGGATCAGGGCACCAACGAACTGCTGACGTTGGGGCGGTCTTTGGACGCCTGCTGAAGAATACATTCCCCCGTCTTTCCTCCCGCCCTGGGCGCAAATTCACCATCGGATGCCATCTTCAAACGCAGCCCGGCCATGTGGACGGGGGCCCCCGCGGTCTGCTGCCTGCTGCCTACTGCTTGCGGCTGCAGCGTCCGCCGCCGCCCGCGCCGCCGACGCTGGCGCACCGGCGCCAGAGCCGCCGCCTCTGCTGCCTGCCGCCGCCGCCGTTGTGGCTGCCGCCGCCGCCGGGGACACGACAAAGGCGCGCACCGATACCGCTCTGATCACCGGCCCTCTCCCTTGGTGCGCCCTGGCCAGAACTGTGTGGCGAGTGCGCCCGTTGACGGCGAGGCTCCCCCCTGGAGGCCCCGGAAGGGCGCAGGGCGAGGGAGGAGCTGCGGAAGCGGTGCGCTGCGCGCGCCGCCGCTGCTGCCGCGGTCCACCCGGCAACGCTCCTCGGCCACGGCGCAAGAGGTGGCCCTGGGCACGAGGGACCTTTGGTGCGCGGCCTGGGGGGGCCGCGTGGGGAGGTGGCGACTGCACGAGCGCAGGTCGGCGCCTGTGGACCCGCACCAAAGGGCACTCCGGCAAAGGGCCACTCCTACGCGCAGCCACGCTCCAAAGTCCCCCCCCTCGCGCCGGCGGCCGCCGCCGCGGCGCCGCCGCGGGACCGCCCAGAGAGCGACTGCTCGACCAGCTCCGCCGCTAAGGCCGCGGCTCCCCCAAGCGGGGGACGGCCGCGTGCCGCCTTCGCCCTCCTCCTGTTTCTCCTCTTCTTCCTGGTCATCTTCACTGCACCGCCTAAGCCTCCATGCGCGGTCGAGGTCAGCGCAGGGCCAGGGCGGCGAGTGAAGAACGAGAGAGAGAGAGAGGCGGTGCGGTCTAGCGAGCGGTCCTCCTCCTCATCCGTTTCTCTTCAGGTCCTCTTCCTCCTCCTCCTCTCCTCCTCCTCCTCCTCCTCCTCCTCCTCCTCCTCCTCCTCCTCCTCCTCCTGCTCCTGCTCCTCCTCCTCAACTACGTCCTCGGCCCCCCGCGCCCTCGCTCTCGGTTCAGTCATCCTTGCCCTCGCCGTCGTCTCGGGCTGTCGTGGGAGAGCAGCGCGATCCTGTCACCGCTCGGAGGATAGAGCATACCCGACGAGGCAAGTATAGGTGGCGAGCGCGCGCCCCAGCACGCTCTGCACTCCAGATGATTGCATGAGTCCGTGCATGCAGAAACGGATACTCAGAGATCAGACACGTCTGGAACATGCAGACGGTGGATGCCTCGCAACATCAACCGCAGCGGTACGGTGCAAGAGCACGTGCCAGCAGTTCTTGGGACTTCATCCCCAAAGTGAGCGAGCGCTGGCAAGCCCCACGTATCTTGAGAGGGATCTTTCGATGTCCCACAGAGGCCGAGCGCACCGATCATGGCATCTTGCCAGCCAAGGATGCCGCGCCAGGCCTGCTCTGAATCCCAGGGGGGACCGGCGGGCTGGCGTACGAGGCCTCTCCGATGCCACTGGCTCGCCGGTGCTGGCGGGACCACCCTGGCAGCCTTGGCGGGCGGCTCGCCGCTGTACCTGGGACGGGGGCCCCCCCGACCCAGGAAGAGGCCGGGTGAGGAGGGTGGGCCGAAGGGGAAGGGCAACTTCTCGGGTGCTCAAAGATGAAGGGGCCCTGGGACAATCAAATTAATAGACACAAATCCCAGGATTCCCCGTATTTTCTCATATGCTCTGGGTTTTCGTCTTCCCCCCAACTTCCCATATTTTCCTGGAGATCGACGATTTATTGTGACTGTGTGTTTTTCCCCCTCTTGAATCTTGAAGCGAACGGATGCGGCACACGCAGCCGGTGGCCCACATGCGGGGAGGCGCTGGGGCCACGAGGGCACGAGGCGTGGGCAGAGGAGGGCTGCACGAGTCTCCAGGCAGGGCGCCACTGAGGTGTACAAAGAGACATCTGCGAGGACGTCGTGACGTCCGCCCAGAAAAAGTTGGAGGATGGAGAGCGGGGTGCGGAGGGAGAAAAGGGGCAGACGAGGGAGGCGAAGAGGGCGGGGAGGGGCGGGAGATATGGTGTTCAGAAGAAGAGCAGCAGGATCAGCAGCTGGAGCGAAAGCGTGACGGGATGCTAAATCGACCGCCTCCTCATCGGTATGGGAGCCACGATGCAATTCGAGAGCTAGGGATGGAAAGGCGGGCCCAAAGACCAATGACTTGGCCGACCCTGGGGCCTAACCGCTCTAGACCCCCGCCCCTGGCTCCTGAGGAGATCCCGCGCGCGGGGAGCGGCCGGCGCAGCTGCAGAGAGAGAGAGAGAGAGAGGAACAAGAGAGAGGGAGAGAGAGAGAGAGAGAGAGGGAACGAGAGACCGAGAAACTGGACCAGGGCAAAAGCGACGAACCATCACTGGCGAAGCAGTTGGGATGAGAAGGTCAGAACGGCACCGAGCAGCCGCAGGACAACATACGGGGGGCGAACCCCCTGCAGCACGGACGAGCACGGAGGACGAAGGAGCGGCCACCGAGGCCAGACAGGCGCCGAGGGATGTACCACGGGCAGCCCAACAGGCGCCGAGGGACGTACCACGGGCAGCCCAGCCCAAGCGGGATCACGATGGCCGACGACGGCTCTGAGAGAGCCTCTCTGCTGGGGGGCACCTGGACATCCTCCGAGAGGAATGCGCGGATGCAGCAATGACTTCCTACACCTGGGACGGGGCGCTGACAACGGGACACTGGCACCAGGGCAGGCGCGAGGACCCCCCTCTGTGGACCTCTCTACATTACGAGGCACTGCGCATCAGGATACCTTGGATGTGCGCGGCAGAGGCAGCCGACCGACCTCCGACGCACTGTGGGCCACCGTGCCTTGGTTTTGGGTCAGAGTCCTAATGGGTGCCTCTTGGGGTCTCGTAGGGGGGCTTTCGGGGGCCTCTGAAGGGCATTTGTGCAGCTCCTGGGCGCCTCTTGGGCGTGATTGATGCATGAAAGGATGCTACATCGCACAGCATGGGAACCAGCGGATCACAACTACCGTGAATCCAACGGGACCTGTCTGTGACAAGCACGATGGCACATACGCCGTGTCTGTTCGGCGGAACTCTCCGTCGAACGCCCCTTCCTTATCCCTCTCCGACGTGTCCCCCGACCCATCCCCCCTTTCTCCTTCTCCTCCTCCTCCTCCTCCTCCTCCTCCTCCTCATCCTTCTCCTCATCCGTTCTTCCCTTCCTTATCACGCTCCTTCCTTGCCCCCCTCCGTCCCTCCCTCCCCTACACTCTCCCCCCTCTCATCCAGTATGTCCCCCACTTTCCCCCAATTCACTTGCCCAACGTTGCGTGATTTGTCCAGTGATTCCCCTCGCCTCTGTCCGCTGCTTGCCGATCCTCCTGGGAACAGCCAAGCGCTTAGGATTCCAGACAAGCAACAAAAGAGCAGAGGCAGACGGCGAGGAGGACGAGGAGGAGGATATGGCATGCAGAACGAGGATGAGGAGGAGGAGGAGGAGTAGGAGGAGGAGGGGAAGGAGGAGGAGGAGGAGGAGGAGGAGGACGAGACCAAAGAGGAAGGAGGAATACTGTCGGGAATAATTGTTTAGCGTGTCGCTCCACTGGTTCTGGCCAACCACGCTGCTGCGCGACACGCTATCCACTTCGCGGTCCCCAGGCGTTCACGTGCCGAGCTTTTCCAAGCCTCTCACCCGGCAAAGCGAAGCGACAAGCTACCCGCTTGCAAGATTTAGCGTGTCGCTAGAACCGACGCCGCGACACGCTGAGCAAAAGTTCTCGAACGTATGGGGGAGAAGAAAAAAAACACAAACAGAAACTGTTGCCGATCCGCGCGGATTTCCTGGACCTGCGCCAGCCGCCCCTCCATGGTGCGCGGAGCGCGCCAGGGGCGGCGCCAGAGGCGCCGCCGGGGGGGCCCAGCGCGGATCCGAGAAACCCGCGCGGAGCGCCAAAAGTTTCTGTCCATGGCGGTTTCTCTTCTTCGAAGGATCTGATTTTTGGGAGCACTGGGGCCCTGTCTAAGCGCGCGATAAAATCTCTGCCGGCGTGGGCCCATCCCTTGGATCGCTCTGGCCCCGCGGAGGGCCGCGGAGAGCGCCTAGGGTCCGAGCTCGCGCGGCGGGGGGGGGCACACCCTGGAAAAACGCAGAAAAGCAACGGCGCCGCCGCGCCTTCCGCTCAGGCTCCTGCATCTTCAAACTCCTCGGGCTCCTCGTCGCCCTCGCCCTCCTTCTCGGCCTTCTTCTCCACCTTTTTCTCGACCTTCTTCGCGCCGGTTTTGCTCGACCTCGTTACCCAGGCGACGACGGAAGACCTGTTCTCAATCAATTCCACCACGAAGGCGCCAAGGACTGGCAGAGCAACGACTAGCCACGGGACTCTCCTCGCGAGGATGAATCCGCCACGGTGCGTGCACGGTCATGGAGGGTTGGAATGCTTGCTAGTTGTCTGGTAGGATCCCACCCTCGACGGAGACCCTGGTCGATCCCACCCCCAGTTTTGCTATCCAGTGCACTATTCGGCATCAGGACGGCCCCACAATAGCCAACGAAAAAGCTGCGATATGGCTGCAATGTGTCCAAAGACCAGCCGAAGATTGCCCAAACGAGCTCCCAACGGCTCCAACATGTCCTCGAGATACCCATGGAGGCACCGAGCATATACACTCAAGGAGGCCTCTGGGGAGGCCTGGGGGGGTCGCAAAACTATGGGACAACTTCCCCGACTTCAGTGTCAGTGGCGCTTTCGAAGCTTTTCGGCTACAGATCGCTCTGGGCAAGCCTCAGAGCCACAAGATCCCCGTGTACGGCCCACAGAGCCACTGGGCAACGGATCGCTCTGGGCAAGCATCAGAGCCACAAGAGCCCGAGGAGCCCCTCGGAGGGACCAAAAACTGTCTCCAGAGAGCTCCAAGACGGCTCCGGGAATCACCCAGACGATCCCAAGACGGTTCAACTGGGGTTCTTGGGGAGAGCTTGGTAGCGCCATAGCGCTCAAGCCGGCCCCGAGACCCCCAACTGGCCCCAAACAGACCCCCACCAAGCCCATACGAGGCTGACCCACGAGCACCCCAGGATGTCTCCAAGAGGCTCGAAAGAAGGCCCCGAGACCTCCAAGATGCCTTCAAGAAGGAGGACGGAGGAAGCAGGAGGAGGGAGACTGAGGAGGGAGGAGGGGATCGAGCCTGAGGCGAAGGAGCCAGTCTAGACAGGGCACTGGACTGGAGCGGGTCTCAAACTCAACCTCCTCCCTGCTGCGATGTTGCGCTGGCACGGTGGCAGGAGTTGCCGCAGGCAGCCGGATATGACAACCTCCACGTATCGCATGAATGCATCTTGGGCACTCTGGCCGCTGGCGCCCAGGTTCGAGGTCAGCGCGAGGGTCACGATGGCCAGGCCGGGGCTCATCCCACAGTGGGCGAGCGCGGCGGCAAACGTGGGCAGCAGGGTGGCCACGTGCAGCTCCGCCCTCGCGAAGAAGCGTCTGAGGCCCAAGTAGGCCGCGATCAGCGCCCAGGTGTGCAGGCCACTTGGCAGCACGGCCGCGGAGCGGAGGAAGTTGGCCAGGAAGCCGCCCAAGCGCATGTAGACGCTGCCGATGCCCCCTGAGAGCACGACCAGGGAGGCGAAAACGGTGAGGTTTCCAAACTGCTCTTCGTCGATGTCCTTGAAGCTCACCATCCCGCGAAGCGACATGATGCCGAACACGCCCAGGAGGGCAGCTACCGGCTGGACGGAGCGCAGGAAGCCAGCGCAGGTGATGGCCCATGCGAAGAGGACGGTCCGGAGAAAGTCGTCGAAGCCGAACGTGTACTTTGGCTTGTCAGCCGCTGCCGGCATGCCCTCCTGGCTGAGTCCAGTCACCATCCAAACCCTCTGCAGGAAGGGCCTCAGTGCCAGGACGAGCAGCAGGGGCAGCGACAGCTGCGTCCACTCCTGCACCCCCAGGCCCTGCACACCGAGGCAGCCGATGCCCAGGCCGGCCGCCAGCAGGCTCGTGTTGGAGCCCGTCAGGAACAGAGACTTCGCCAGGCCGTCGCCCTTCCCGCACTGCAGCGGCGACGTCACCACGTCTGCGATCGAGTGCGCCCACGAGGTGCCGACTACTGGCACCTTGTCGATGACATTCCCCACCAGGTTGTGGATGCTGCCCCGGATGTTCCCGAAGCCCTTCGCGCACACCGGCACCAGCAGCCCCAGCCAGAGCAGCGGCGCGCCGAATCCGCTGAGCGCCGTGCCCACCTTCATGGTGCCCACGAGCGTGGCAGCTGCGAGGCCGATCAGCGCGACGGTAGGCGGCGACACCGGCGTGACCAGGAGCCCGAGCGTCGTGGTGGCTGCGATGCTGAAGGCCGCGGTCGACGGGCTGGCCGGATTCAGGCTGAGGAAGAGCCCGAGGGCCACGCACAGGAGCACCCTCTTCGCGCCGTCCTTGACGAACTCCGTCTCCACGCTCAGCAGCCACCGCGCCGCGGCCACAACTCCTGGGGGAGCGGGCGGATATGTCGACGACGCTGCGCCCCGGACCGCTCCCTGGGCGGGAACGCAGGGACCCGAGGCGAATCCGCCGAGACGTGGGGACCCCGGGGAGGCCTCCGCAGGGGCGAGAGCGGGGGGAGCGGGATAGGGGGGGCCTGCGGGCCGGGAGCGCCGATGGACAGCGGTCGGGTGGGGCTGGCCGAGAGGGAGGGGGGAACACGGACTTGGAGTCGGCGACGCATCGCCGATGGGTCGGCGGGCCAGGCCCTCGACCGCGACACCGGGCGCCCCTGGGCGGGTCATCGCACACCCAGGCCCTGGCGATGACTGGGCGACCGGGGATCGACGATGCCTCCCCCCCCCCCTGGCCGGGCCACCCCCGGCGTGGCCCCTGATTCGACTGGCTTCGGGCCATAGCTCGGGCATCCGGCGGCCTCTCAAGATCATCCTGGCGCCCCCCCGAAAGCTCTCGGCGAGGCGCAGCTGCTGGAACGCACACCGAGCCCGGAAAGCCGCCGAGAACCGCCGGGAACGAAGGGCCAATCGACACCTCCCCCCGCCGCTGCCCCTCCGACGTGCCCTTCTAGAGGAAGAACAGGCGGCATAAACATAAGCTGTCGACAGTTCGCGCAGATTTCGCGGATTGGCGCTGGACATCCCCCCCCCCCTCCTTGGCGCGCGGAGCGCGCCAGGGGCGGCGCCGGAGGCGCCGCCAAGTTGGTCCAGGGTCCAAGGAATTCGCGCGGACCGTCGAAAAGTTCTGTTTGTGTAGTCTTTTCTTCTTCGACCTTCGCCCGAGCTCCCGCGGCCGCGCCCAGCCTGAGGCCGCAAGACACGAAGCCTGGCGCGGGCGCCACGGCGCGGCAGCCCGGCACCTCCTGCCGAGCCGCCGCCGGCAGGCCGCGCGCCAGGGCACCGGCCTAGACGAACAACGAATGGCACAAGCGTGCTTTCTCGGAGCTCCGCACGGATTGCTTGGCTTTTGCTCCTCAGCCTCAATCCTTTTCCTCCTCCTCCTCCTCCTCCTCCTCCTCCTCCTCCTCCTCCTCCTCCTCCTCCTCCTCCTCCTCCTCCTCCTCCCTCCTCCTCCTCTCCTCCTCCTCCTCCTCTCCTCCTCCTCCTCCTCCTCCTCCTCCTCCTCCTCCTCCTCCTCCTCCTCCTACTCCTCCCCTCCTTCTCCCTTCCCCTCTCTCTCTCCTCCTCTCCTCTCCTCCTCCTCCTCCTCCTCCTCCTCCTCCTCCTCCTCCTTTCCTCCTCTCCTCCCCTCCTCTCTCCTCCTCCTCTCCTCCTCCTCCTCCTCCTCCCTCCTCGCTCCTCCTCCTCCTCCTCTCCTCCTCTCCCCCTCCTCCTCCCCGCCTCCTCCTCCTCCTCCTCCTCCTCCTCCTCCTCCTCCTCCTCCTCCTGCTCCTTCTCCTCTTCCTCCTCTCTCCCTCCTCCCTCCTCCTCTCTCCTCCTCCTCCTCCTCCTCCTCCTCCTCCTCCTCCTCCTCCCCCTCCTCCTCCTCCTCCTCGTCTCCTCCTCCTCCTCCTTTCCTCCTCCTCTTCCTCCTCCTCCTCCTCTTCCTCCTCCTCCTCCTCCTCCTCGTCCTCCTCCTCCCCTCCTCATCCTCATCCTCCCCCTCCTCCTCCTCCTCCTCCCTCCTCCTCCTCCACCTCCCCTCCTCCCCCTCCCCTCCTCCCTTTCCCGCTCCCCTCCTCCTCCTCCTCCGCCTCCTCCTATTTCTCCTCCTTCTTCTTCTCCTCCTCCTCCTCCTCCTCCTCCTCCTCCTCCTCCTCCGTAGCTATATTGGCTCAAGCCGTTTCCGCGCAGGCGGGGGCCTGGGGTGCCGCGCGCGCGATTGGAAGCGGCGCAGCGCGCGGGAGCGGATGGCGGTCGCCTGATGCTCCTTCGGCTCCTCCTGCCCTCGGCGCTGCTGGAGTGCACGGGCGCGCATCAGGCGCTCGCAGGCCTGGCACAGCGCTTCACGCGGGAGGTGAAGGACATCGCCAAGCTGGAGGTCAAGGTGTTGCTGAGTGATGGGGACGCGGGCCCCAACCACACCGCCGAGGAGCCTCGGGGCTGATCGCGCCGTTGCCGGAGGCAATGCCGATCAAGCCGCCCATCTTCCCCGTCCTGACGGAGGTAGTCCAGGATCCGCCGCCAGGGTACTGGGGGGAGCCGCAGGCGTGGCGTGGGGCCAGGCCGCAGGTGGTGCTGACGGAGGAGGAAGTGACTCGGCAGGAGGTGCGCAAGCTGGACGCGTACCATCACAGCCTGCAGCTGTCGCAGCCGATGGGGGCGGAGGTTCGTCAAAAGGTCGGCGGGAAAGCCTCGACGGAGACGGATGGCATGCCGACCAAGGACAGGAGGCGCTCGAGATCGCGAAGGAGTCAGAGGACAGCTTCGACGAGCTCGGCGGTCAGCAAGCACCACAAGAAGAACAAGAAGGACAATAAGTCCAAAAAGAACAATAAGGACAAGAAGGTCAAGGAGGTGTCGCCGCAGGCGCAGGAGAAAAACCAACGTGTGAGGAAGCCGTCACCGCGGTTTCCGTCGGCACCTTGGGCGCGGTAGCGGAGAAGGGTTATGGGCAGAAGGACCGCTGCGACAGCTGCGACCATGACGAGGACAGCTGCGACCATAGCGAGGTGAAGAAGGTGAAGGTCCTGCTCAGTCCTGCTAACGAACGTGGCCATGGGTGTGGCACAGAGTTCTACAGCATCGGCGAGGACAACGACGCAGGCCAGAGCATCACGGCCAGCATCGAGCACTCGTACAAGGCGCTCGCGACGGCCGTGCCTGCAAATTTGACGGGCAAGAAGTGGGGCGAGCTCAAGATCAGCGACATGGTCATGATCAAGGGCCACCCGTGCAAGGTGATCAACATTACGGCAGCGAAGAAGGGGAAGAACGGCCTCAGCAAGCTGAATATCGAGGGGATGGACATCCGCACGTCGCTGCAGTACGAGGACGTCAAGGCGGCGACCTTCGTGGCCAACCTCTCCCAGGAGGCGGGGATGGACATCGTGCGCGGGCAGAACGTAGAGTACAGCTCGCATGACATTGGCGCAACTTGGCATGTGCGCAACGCAGCTCCAGAAGCTTGGCCTGCTGGACGTCGACGCGTTCGAGAAGGTCCACAGCATCACGAAGCAGGCCGTCAGCACGAAGAAGGCACAATGCGGAAACTATGGGGTGAAGTTTCAGCATTGTGGGTTTCGGCATCAGAAGAAGGATGAGAAAGAGGCCCAACCTGGAGGTCTCCTGGTCGACCCGCAGCCGCAGGCGTCGAAGCAGGTGGCGAAGATGGAGGACCAGGCCTCGAGGTCAGCGAATCGGAGCTGGACCAGTTCGGGGCCTCGTTGCACTTCAAGGTTGAGCACTCTACAGGCTCAGACTTGTCGAAGGCTCCAGGCCTGAGCGGCCGCAGGGAGAGGGCCCCCCCCGACGTCCCCTGGGCTCCTAGGGGGGGGGCTGCTGGCCCTTGGTTTTGTCGGGGCCTTCTCGGCCTCGCGGGTTTTGGTGGGCGGGCCTCTGGGCCCGTCGCGGCCTTGGGGGCCGCCGCTCAGTGGGACCTCGGTGGCCCCTCGCTCTGGGAGTCGGAGCGGCGCGCGGACGGAGCGGGCGCGCCCCCGGTGGCGGCGGCGGGACCGCCGCTCTGCGCCGAGCGCGATGGGGGGCCACCGGCCTCCCAGTAGCCACAGCCACAGCCTCCTCCTCGTCCTCCTCCTCCTCCTCCTCCTCCTCCTCCTCCGCCTCCTGCTCCTCCTCTCCTCTCCTCCTCCTCCTCCGCCTCCTCCTCCTCCTCCTCCTCCTCCTCCTCCTCCTCCCCCTCCTCCTCCTCTCCTCCCCCTCCTCTTCCTCTCCTCCTCCTCCTCCTCCTCCTCCTCCTCCGCCTCCTCCTCCTCCTCCTCCTCCTCTCTCCTCCTCCTCCTCCTCCTCCTCCTCCTCCTCCTCCTCCTCCTCCTCCTCCTCCTCCTCCTCCTCCTCCTCCTCCTCCTCCTCCTCCTCCCCCTCCTCTCCTCCTCCTCCTCCCTCCTCCTCCTCCTCCTCTCTCCTCCTCCTCCTCCTCCTCCTCCTCCGCTTCCTCCTCCTCCTCCCCTTCCCCCCTCCCCCTCCTCCTCCTCCTCCTCCTCCTCCGCCTCCTCCTCCTCCTCCCCTCCTCCTCCTCCTCCTCCTCCTCCTCCTCCTCCTCCTCTCTCCTCCTCCTCCTCCTCCTCCTCCTCCTCCTCCTCCTCCTCCTCCTCCTCCTCCTCCTCCTCCTCCTCCTCCTCCTCGATGCCACTGGTTGTGCTTCGACGGCCGCCGCCTGCCCCGGCGGCGTGCGCGCGGCTGGGGCGCAGAAGGCCCCCCCGCCAGCGCTGGCCCAGGCGGCCCAGGCGGCCGCCAGGGCCCCGAGCGCCAGGCGCGGGCGCCGCGCCGACCGCCGCCCCATGGCTGCGATGGCCGCCGCCCTGCGCTCGCAGACCCCCTCGAGTCGCGGAAAAATCACGACGGGAGGTTTTCCTCTATTTTCGGCCTCTGGAGGCCCTGGCCGGGCCTCGGGACCGTCAGAAACCGACCCGGGATGAGAAACCGGTCGCGGGGAACGGGTTGAGACCTCTGATGGGGTCGATGCTGGCACGCGCAAACACGCTGACGTCGGGGGTCTGCGTTCGGCCCCCGCCGCTGGACACCCCGCGCGCCGCTGCGCCGGCCTCGGGCAGAAGGGGGGCGGGCAACCGAGCGGCGAGGCTGCGCGGCGGGCTGCGCGGTGGGCTGTGCGGCGCGCGGTGGGTTGCGCGGTCTGCGCGTGTGAGCGTGCGTGTGCGTCCGGCGCCGCTCCCCCCGGCCACTGCCCCGTGAGGGGCTGGCCGCCTCGCCTTTCCTTGCTTCTCGTTCACTATGTTCTTCCAGCTACTGCGAGCTCGGCCGCCGGCCGCGCGCCCAGCGGTGTGGCGAGTCGCCCACACGCAACGCCCGCAAATGGCAAAAGTGTGCATGTGCGTGTGCGTGCGTGTGTGTGTGTGTGTGTGTGCATGTGCATGTGCATGTGCATGTGCATGTGCATGTGCATGTGCGTGTGCGTGTGCGTGTGCGTGTGCGTGTGCGTGCGCGTGCGCGTGCGCGTGCGCGTGCGCGTGCGCGTGCGCGTGCGCGTGCGCGCGCGCGTGCGTGTGCGTGTGCGTGTGCGTGTGCGTGTGCGTGTGCGTGTGCGTGTGCGTGTGCGTGTGCGTGGCGTGGCGTGTGGGTGTGTGTGTGTGTGTGGTGTGTGTGTGTGTGTGTGTGTGTGTGTGTGTGTGTGTGTGTGTGTGTGTGTGTGTGTGTGTGTGTGTGTGTGTGTGTGGTGTGTGTGGTGTGTGCCGTGCGTGCGTGGCGTGCGTGCGTGCGGGCGGCGGGCGGGCGGGCGGGCCGGGCGGGCGGGCGGGCGGGCGGGCGGGGGCGGGCGGGCGTGCGTGCGTGTGCGTGCGTGCGTGCGTGCGTGCGTGCGTGCGTGCGTGGTGCGTGCGTGCGTGTGTGCGGTGTGCGTGGTGCGTGGGTGCGTGGGTGCGTGGGTGCGTGGTGGTGGTGGGTGTGTGTGTGTGTGTGTGTGTGTGTGTGTGTGTGTTGTGTGTGTGTGTGTGCGGGTGTGGTGCGGTGCGGGCGGGCGGGCGGGCGGGCGGGCGGGCGGGCGGTGCGTGCGTGCGTGCGTGCGTGCGTGCGTGCGTGCGTGCGTGCGTGCGTGCGTGCGTGCGTGCGTGCTGCGTGGTGCGTGCGTGTGCGTGGGTGCGTGGGTGCGTGGGTGCGTGCGTGCGTGCGCTGTGTGTGTGTGTGTGTGTGTGTGTGTGTGTGTGTGTGTGTGTGTGTGTGTGTGTGTGTGTGTGTGTGTGTGTGTGTGTGTGTGTGTGTGTGTGTGTGTGTGTGTGTGTGTGTGTGTGTGTGTGTGTGTGTGTGTGTGTGTGTGTGTGTGTGCGTGTTGAGCTTGGCTCCGCTGCGGCTTACGCGGTGGCAGCTGCGGTTGCTGGGTGGCTGCACGGTGGCGGCGCGGAAGGCGGCAGCGGACCCCTGATCCTCGGGCCTCTGGGGTGGGTCCTCGACCCCCTGGGGGTTCTCTCCAGCTCGTGCGTCCGCGCCCCTCGGCCCTCGGCGGCCTCCTGTCCTCGGGAGGGGGGGGGGGGCGCCCCGAGCGGCCCCTGCCCACTGGGCCTGCGCGGGCCTGGCAGAGGGCCGCGGCGGGCGCCGCCCCCCCCATTGCTGGCGACACGGTCGAGGGCGACACGGCGAGGGCCTGCCAGGGCAGACTTTGGGCGCAACAGGTTCGGTGATGTCTCGGGAAAGCGCACTCGCTGCGAAGAGTCGGCGTTCGTGCTTCCGTCCCCCAACGGGTGCCTCGGCTGGGGGTGGCTCAGGCGGCCGTTCGCCCGCAGAACATCTCGTTCCAACCTGGTGCGCCATCTGGTAGAAGGCAACAACTGATGGATACGCCCCCCCTCCAGATTCATAGTTGGCGCACGCAGGAAAGACTGCGGTCGATTTGCAACTCATCAGAACCACACCCAACTTCTTCGATTTGGGACGAACTCTTAGGCAAAAACACACTCATTTCAGTCAGGGTGGCGCTAATCCATCCAGATAGGAAACAGCTTATCGAGAAAGGTGTCCCCAGAGAAGATGCGTCTTATGCGAGAACGCGGGGGACCTAATAGGTTTGGGGAGGGGCGCTCACACTGAGATCCGAAAAGGGCGAGGCGATGCCGAAGAACTCATGCTTCAGACACCTGCTTCTCCCTTCGCAGAAGAGCAACCATCCCCTGGCATTCCCAGTAGAGAGCCACCGCCAACTTTGACCCTTGGAGGGATTGGGGGGGGGGGGGGGGGGCATTTGCAGATGCATACGGCATGAGTGCTCGCGAATTTTGCTCCGAGGCCTGTCTGGCTCTTCAGGTCCACGCGTTTCCCCACATGTCGGCCTCCCGGGGCCCACGGGCGGGCCCCGGGAGGCCACCAGAAGTCAGGCTTGGGGGCAAGACTGCCCCCCGGGGGCGAAGGGGCCGGGAACTCAGGGGCTCCGCGGGTGGATGGAAAGCATCCATCAGGGGACGAGGAGGAGGAGGAGGAGGAGGAGGAGGAGGAGGAGGAGGAGGACGAGGAGGGGGGAGGAGGAGGAGGAGGACGAGGAGGGGGAGGAGGATGAGGAGGAGGAGGAGGAAGAGGGGGAGGAGGAGGAGGAGGGGAGGAGGAGGAGGAGGAGGAGGAGGGGAGGAGGAGGAGGAGGAGGAGGAGGAGGGGGACGTCGAGTTGGTGCGAGCGAGGGCGTTGGCGACCCTGCGCGGCTGCGTGCTCAGGGCGCAGGCAAGCACACCGCGCGGAGGCGAGGGCGCGTTCACCCGCGGCCTCACCAACTGCCTGGGCGTAATGTGCGCGAACGTCCGCGCCGTCGACCCCGTGTCCTTCCTCGGGGGCGCGCAGCCATGGGCGCGCGGTCGCCAAATCCTTGGATCGGGGGAGGCGCCCTCCCCAGAGTGCGGCCGGTGCCGCCCCGCTCGGCGGCGGAAGTCCGCGGCTTCCCATGGAGACGGGGCCCGCCGCTGATCCACGCCCCCTTGATCCATGCTTGCGATCGCCTGACGTACATCGCTCGGATGGCCGCAGAGGAGGGCAGCGGTGAGGAGGCCTCGGCCGACGCCTCGAGGCTTCGCTGCCGCGGCCTGGGCTGAAGCGAACGGCGGGCCTCGGTGGTCCGCCCAGGGGGGGCCTCCCGGGTCGGCCCGAGCACGAGCACGGTGCGGGAGCAGCGCGCATGTAAACAAAAGAATGGGAGCGGCGAGCTGTTGCTGAAAAACGCATGCTCCGTACATTTTGCCCTGGTCGGCCCCTGTTCCCCCTCCCAGTCAGGAGCCGCCTCCGCCTTGCGCTGCTCCTCGTGGTATTCCCAACCATCCTGCGTGTATTGGGCCTTCGTTCTGAATCCGCAGCGCCCTGCGTTCAATCTTCCTCCTCCTTCCTCCTCCCCACTCCTCGCATCCTTGCCTCTGCCCTCCGCCTGCCCTCATCGTCATCAACACCGTCACCATCACCATCACCATCACCATCACCACCACCATCATTATCATCAACATCATCATCATCATCATCATCAGCAGCAGCAGCAGCATCGTCATCATCAGCATCATCAGCATCAACATCATCATCAGCAGCATCAGCATCCGCATCAGCATCAGCATCAGCATCATCATCAGCACCAGCATCTGCATTATCAGCAGCAGCATTAGCATCAACACAATCATCGTCATGATCAGCATCACCATCGCCATCATCATCGCGACCATCATCATCACGATAGGCGTTGTCATCGTCATCATCTCTTGTATCGTCATCATCGTAATCACCACAATTATCACCGTCACTTTCATCACCGTCAACATCACCATCATCACCATCATCACCATCATCACCATCAACACCATCATCACCATCATCACCATCATCACCATCATCATCATCATCATCATCATCATCATCATCATCATCATCATCATCATCATCATCATCATCATCATCATCATCATCATCATCATCATCATCATCATCATCATCATCGTCAGTATCATCCAGCGCTGCACTCAAGCCAGAACTTGACTTCTTGTGTTCACGAGCCAAGGAGCTGCACACGACGACAGACCAGTTCGTGCCGAGGATCAGCCGGCAGCAGAGGAGGGGAGGGAGCAGAAAGGAGGCCAGCACCGACCAGGAGCGGAGGGAGAAGGAAAAGCGAAGGGAGGGCGGGCGAGAGAACAGGCTCTGGAGCCGATACGCATGAACGGTGCCCTTTTGCAGTTGGCACGCAGAGAAAAAAGGGCATCGTCGGTCGAACGTATCCAGCGGAGAAGGACCATCCAGCGCACCACCCAAGCCCAAACTCGGCTTCGTGTTCGCAAGCCAGGCAACTGCGCACGACGACGGACCGGCTCGTGCCGAGGGTCAGCCAGCAGCGGAGTAGGGTAGGGAGCAGGAAGGAGCTCACCACCACCGATCAGGAGCGGAGGGAGAAGGACTAATCCAAGTCCCAGAAAGGCTTCTGGCCGAAGGCCGGACCAGAGGAGGTAGCAGGGTTCTCGAGGAAGGTAGGGCAAGCACGAATGAGTTTCATAGAGAAGAGCAGCTTGAGTATGTCTGGGTGTGTCAGCTGAGATATGTCTTGGTGTGTCAGCTTGGCAACGTGGAGCGTTCCGCTCAGCGTGTGTGGGCTGTTGATTGCGCGACTACTGCGTGGGCCGATTCAACTTTCCTGGCTGGCCCTATTGCGTGCGTCGACCACGCAGCCAGCACGGGTTTCAGACATGCTCGTGCGGGGCATCAAAGATGGCGGATGGACAGGAGAGAGTAGTGGGAAGGAGGGATGGGAGAGGACTGGAGAAGGCGCCTGGTCGGTTTGGGGGTGTCCAGGCTTCTGCCTGAAGCCACGAACCCCCTCCCTTCACCTTGCTCGATGATTCGCTTACTCCAGGTCAAATCTGGCCGTCATCAAACCCACTGGGCCGTACTGACACCCACCTGGCCGCAGTAGAGCCTTCTCTCCTCGTCGTCCCCCACTTCCACGCCTCTCTCCTCCCTCCCCTAGCCGACGGGCGCCCGTGGAACTGCGGCACGGAGCCGTCCGGCCCCTGCAGCAGCCTCGCCTGCGGCTGGTTGTTCTTGTTCACGATCACCGTGAACGTGACCTCTGGGCCCCCGAGGCGCGCAGGAGCGGCGGCCTTCCAGGCCTCCTCGCGTCTTTGAAAAACACCGTGGGGGCGTTCGTTAAGGGATCTGCCCGGAGGTTTCAGACCCTGGAGGACTCCTGATCTGACGACGGCGGCGGTGATACGCATGGCCAAACCTCCTTTGGTGCTCCACCAGCTTTCAGACCCTGAATTCCTTATCCAAGGGTTCCTCATCCAATGCCCTCGATGTACCACGAGGCTTTCCATTCGTCTTCGGCCTCCAAGGGTCCTCACCAGGCCCCAGAGCCGTCAAGAGGCTACTCGAGATTGAAAGCGGGTCCCCCGGAAGAGTACCAGACCTCCGGGGGTCCGCGCTGGGGGAACAGAAACAAGATCAATGACACGCCACAGCGGGGGAGCCATCAGCGCGTTGCTGTTGAAGGAGCACGACGCTCCAGTGCCAAGACGAATGAGTAACTTGCCGACGGGCTACCAACGGCGGCGCATCATTGATACTCGTTTTCCATCCCGACGCGCTTTGAACAACTCGCGAGTGCGGCTGCCTGGGCTCGTGGCTCCTGGAGGTATGCGTGGGAGGCAGAGCGCCGACGAAGTACGGATCCTCCTCACCCTGCCATTCTGCCTCCGCGCTCGACTCTCTCCCTCGGCGGCCACCTGGACCTCCAGCAGCGGCGGGACGCCACGGAGCAGATGCAGGCGCAGGACGGGAGGAGGGGCAGAGCGAGGGGACGAGGGGCACAGCCCAGGGGGGGGGGGGGGCAGCGCGCGAGGCGCGAGGGCAGGGCGAGGGGACGAGGGGACGAGGGGCACGGAGGAGGGCAGAGCGAGGGGAGGGGCACCGCCCAGGGGGGGGGGGGGGCGGGGCAGCGCGCGAGGCGCGAGGGCCCTCCGAGCCCGAAGCCCTCCGGGGCGCGCCGCGCCGAGCGCGAGCCCCGTCCCGGGAGCGGCGAGCTCCGCGCGCCGAGCCGAGGGGGCCCCGGCGGCCGAGCGGCCGGCACCGGGCCGCGGGGCCCCTCGCAGAGTGCCCGCGCCCCGCCCCCTCCGCGCGCGGCGAGGCGTGCGCGCGGGGGGGGGGGGGAGGGGATCAGCAGCAGCAGCGGGAGGACCGCCTCGGAGCTCCACGAGGCACTGCTCCGGCGATGCCCTCCCGCCTCCCACGTCGCCCGTCCCTCGTCTCCCCACCATTCCGCCGTCCCTCCCCGCTGCTCCCGTCTCCCCTCCCCTTGTGCGCGTTGTGCTCCTATCCGTCCTGATTCCCCCCGCTGCGCCCACCTCCATGGTCCCCCCGCCCTGCCACGTCCCCCCTTGTCTCCGCTTCCTCCTTTGTCTCCTCGTCCTCCCTCCCTACCTTGCCGTTTTTTTTCCCGTCGTTCGTTCCTCGTTCCCTCCTCCCCCTGCCTGCTGAAACGGTCAGACATTCTGTCCATAACGGGTTCCCGTCCTCTGCTGAGCGTGGCTCCGCGACTGAATGTTGTTCGCATGCAACCGTCGGCCCCCGCCCATGCCTTTCTTGCAGCGGTGGCTGCTTGCCCTTGGATTCCCAGAAGAGGCCCAACATACATTCAGAGGGTCAACGACAGCTACGTGAAGGCCGCTCGTCAAACCTCCTCTTGGGTACTCCCCCGCTCCCTCCAAGAAATACTCGGATGTTTGGCTCATCTGTGCCCAATCACGTCGCATTACGGGCTGAGTGTGGAAGTGAGCATCATGCGCTGTGCAAGCGGCAGTCGTGATGCAATTCAACCGATGTGCGAAAACTCTCTCCTCCATATTTCCATCCGACCTCTCCCCTCCCTCGTCCTCCTCCTCGTCGTCCTAGCCCTGCTCGTCCTCATCCTCCCAGTCCTGCTGCTAGTCCATACAGTTGTCGTCCTTTTCAGCCTCTTTCTCGTCGTTCTCCTCCTCCTCATCCTTCCCCCTCCTCCTCCTTCCTCCTCCTCCGTCCTTCTCCTCCTCATCCTCCTCCTGCTCCTCCTCCTCCCTTCTCCCTCCTCCCCCCCCTTCCTCCTCGCACCTCCACCTCCACCTTCTCCTCCTCCGCTCTTTTTCTTTATACATAAGTTCTCCCTGTCGCACCCCGAGGCCTGTTTGTAGAGCGGGCCGGGCGTTTCGCCTGAGACATCCTCACCAGTCATGACTCTGAAGCTTATTATCCTGGCAAAGCAACCTAACAGCGATGTGTATAAGCATATCTGGAAGCATTCCCCTTAAGATTCAGGTGAGAATCCAGTTGTAGAATTCAGCTGTTCTCGCAGTCGCAGTCGCATTCGCAATGACAGTCGCAGTGGCAACGGCCTTAGGATCCAATGGAATCCTAAGGATTCCTATGTATTATTCCTTCCTAAGGCATCCTCAGACATCCTTAGGAATCCATAGGAATCCTTAGGAAACCTTGGGAATCCTTAGGAATCCTGATTCCTAGGGATTCCTATGGATTCCTAAGGATTCCTGATGAATCCTAAGGATTCCTAAGGATTCCTGAGGATGCTTAACGATGCCTACGGATTCCTAAGGATGCCTACGGATTCCTAAGGATTCCTAGGGATTCCTATGGATTCCGATGGATTCCTACGTATGCCTCAGCCTGCCTCAGTTTCAGCCTCAGCCTCAGCCTGCCTCGGCTTGCCTCAGCCTCAGCCTCAGCCTGCCTCGGCCTCAGCCTCAGCCTGCCTCGGCCTCAGCCTCAGCCTGCCTCGGCCTCAGCCTCAGCCTGCCTCAGCCTCAGCCTGCCTCAGCCTCAGCCTGCCTCAGCCTCAGCCTCAGCCTCAGCCTCAGCCTCAGCCTGCCTCGGCTTGCCTCAGCCTCAGCCTCAGCCTCAGCCTCGGCCTCAGCCTGCCTCAGCCTCAGCCTGCCTCAGCCTCCCCTCCTCCCCCCCCCTCCCCCACGGCGCTGAGATGCTTGACGCGTCCTCCTGCCGAGTCGATCCGATCCCCCTCCCCCCCCCATTCAGCCTCACCTTGTCTCAGCTTCGGCCTGCCTCGGCCTCATCCTCAGCCTTAGCCTCAGTCTCAGCCTCAGCCTATCTCAACCTCAGCCTGCCTCGGCCTCAGCCTCAGCCTGCCTCAGCCTCAGCCTGCCTCCGCCTCAGCCTCAGCCTGTCTCAGCCTCAGCCTGCCTCATCATCAGCCTCAGCCTCAGCCTCAGCCTGCCTCGGCTTGCCTCGGCCTCAGCATCAGCCTGCCTCGGCCTCAGCGTCAGCCTCAACCTGCCTCAGCCTCAACCTCAGCCTGCCTCAGCCTCAGCCTGCATCAGCCTCAGCCTCAGCCTGCCTCAGCCGCAGCTTGCCTCAGCCTCAGCCTCAGCTTCAGCTCAGCCTCAGCCTGCCTCGGCTTGCCTCAGCCTCAGCCTGCCTCGGCCTCAGCCTCAGCCTCTGCCTGCCTTAGCCTCAGCGTCAGCCTCTCAGCCTCAGCCTGCATCAGCCTCAGCCTCAGCCTCAGCCTGCCTCAGCCAGTCTCAGCCTGCCTCAGCCTCAGCCTGCCTCAGCCTGAGCCTCAGCCTGCCTCGGCCTCAGCCTGCGTCAGCCTTAGCCTCAGCCTGCCTCAGCCTCAGCCTGCCTCAGCCTCAGCCTCAGCCTCAGCCTCAGCCTCAGCCTCAGCCTCAGCCTGCCTCGGCATGCCTCAGCCTCAGCCTCAGCCTGCCTCGGCCTCAGCCTGCCTCAGCTCGGGCATTCTCAAAATATGGCACAGGACTGGTGTTCTGGGAGCACGAAGATCACGAGGTGGCCCACACTTGGCTCCGGGCAATCAAAATATGGTACAGGAATTGTGTTCTGGGAGCACGAAGTACTACAGTTGGCTCCGGGCATTCAAAATGTTGCCTGGGATGGTGTTCTGGGAACACGGAGAACACGAAGTGGCCTACAGCTGGCTCCGGGCATTCAAAATGTGGCCTGGGAATGGTGTTCTGGGAACACGAAGAACACGAAGTGGCTTACAGTTGGCTCCGGGCATTCAAAATGTGGCCTGGGAATGGTGTTCTGTTAGCTCCGGGCAGTCAAACTGTGGCCTGGGATAATGTTCTGGGGAGTCCCCGGATTCCCCGCGGCACCCGTCTGGCATCTGCCCAGACCCCCCCGGGAAGTCATGATGCTCTCCTTTGAGACCACTAGAAGCCTATCAGTCTTCGCTGTTAGGTAAAAACATGGCAACAGCTTCACAGATGGAGGGCGGGCACTTTTCAAAATGAGGCTTTCGCCTTGGCGCCGCGCACATTCGTTAAACAAATTGCAAGTTCACGGATTGGGGGCGAATCGTTTTCAAAATGTGGCTCTCGCCTAAGCGCCGCGCGCATTCGTTGTACAAAGTTGCAAGAGTTTCATGGATTTAAGGCTGTTCTTTTTCAAAGTGTCGCTCTGGCGCCAGAGCCGCGCACATTCTTTTTGAACAATTACAATTACAAGAGTTCACGGATTCCCACGATCAGCGTCTCAGAAATGCAGTGTAAGAAGGATTCGCGATTATGAGGGTGCAACGGTTACATTGATTCGCGGTGTTGACGTCCCAGGACTAGCGTCCTGGCGCGGTTCGGGATCGTCAAGACGCAGCAGTCAAGTTGACCCGTGGCGTTGGAATCCCGAAAACAATGTTGTGGCATGCTTCAGGGTCTTCAAGCGGTTGTCTTCCAACGAGGCAATTCCCTCAATGGAAATGCACCGTTGTAGGGGCCTAAGAAGAGAGTTTGGAGGGGGATATATTCCAACACTGTTGAGGACTCTTGAATTTGCACTTGTCCTCCTCCTCCTCCTCCTCCTCCTCCTGTCCCTCCTCCTGTCCCTCCTCCAACGTCTTCTCGTGTTCCTGCTGCTGCTGCTCGTTATCATGTTCCTGCCTCGGCCTCCTGCCCTTGTCGTTTCCCTAATGACGCGCTTCGTGCTGGGTGTGGTGCTCCTCGTCCCACCCGCCCCTCTTCGCTTCACCCCCCCCTTCTTCCGCCCTCTTCTACTCCACCCCCTCGGTTCCTCCCCCTGCCTCCTCCCCCCCTGCCTCCTCCTCCTCCTCCTCCTCCTCCTCTTCCTCCTCCTCCTCCTCCTCCTCCTCCTCCACCTCCTCCTCCTCGCTCCTCCTGTCCCGCCTCTTTTCCATCTTGCCAACGTCCGCTCGTGCTCCTGTTGTTCTTGCTCCTGCCTCGGCCTCGTGCCATGGCTGTCTCCCGAATAACGCTCCTCGTGCCGCCCGTCGTGCTTCTCGTCCCCCCCCCCTCCTCCGCCACCCTTTCGTCCCTCCCCCCCCGATTAGCTGTCTAGCGCGATGGCGAACGTGGCAGGTGTCCATGCTCCTCCACAAGGTATACTTCACGAGCGGCGGACATAACCATGTCCCGCGATCGCGGTCTGGACTCCTGGGCACGATCTCGTTGATACGCGTTCTCACGGATACGTTCCGCACGGAGCATCCGCGAAAAACGCACCCAGGGGCCTTGCCCGCGAGGCCGTTGATATGAATGTGCCCCACCTGCGAATATTACCAGTCAGCGGCCCCGCATAAGAGCGGCAGGTGCGATGGAAAGGGAAGAACTTTCCTACTTGGGTGGCTTATGCCACCGGGTGGTCGATCCAAGCAGCGGCGCTTTGTGCAATGACCTCCGCTGGCTCGTTTTGCGACTTGAACGGTATCGCGAGGCTGGAAACATGATCGAGGCAGTCCGTCTGCGAGCCGGCGGGGCTTCGGCTGTTGAGGGCGGCAACTATTTGCGCCTAGGGCTTCAGGCGTGGTCCAGCTTTGGAGAAGCAAACCTGGCAGCCGAGGTCCGAAATCAAGAACACCCGAAAGCAAACATCGCCGTGCAAAAGATGGCCACCAACATCTGGTCAGCACTCCTACTCGGAAGGTGGCGCGGAGAAGAGGGAATATAAGAGTGGGTGGGGGAATGCATGAGAGTAGGTCAGAGGGATGATGATGATGCTGATGCTGATGCTGCTGCTGCTGCTGCTGCTGATGATGATGATGATGATGATGATGATGATGAAGATGAAGATGGGCCAAAGACATGATCGGCGACGCGCCCGAGGCGGAAATGGGAGGGGGTAGGCCTTCTCAGAACGCGGCGGGCCTTCAAAAAAAACCTCGCGCCTTCTGACACATGTTCTGCGTCGCCAAAGATGGTTTAGAACACTTCTCGGAAAACCGGGGGGGGGGGTCCAAGCCTTCTGGAAAAAAGCACGCCCCCTCTCACTTCCCCCCTGGGCTCGCCGACGACATGAGGATTCGATTGTCGAAGATACAATATTTGCCACCGTGGAACCCACACACTGGGTTCTGGCATACTGTATGTCAAACGTGTGGGGGGGGCGCAGTCTGCGTGATGAAATTTAGACATCGGAATTGCATTCGCCTACCCCAATGCTCTCGCAACCATTCAACCCTCTCACCCGCAATGTGATTTGCAAGTCCAATTCGACTCCAATTGCGGCTGCCGAATGGAACTCGCTGGCGCGTCTCGCGTCGTCGATGACGACGATGACGGCGGCGATGGTGATCCCGACGATGGTGCTGATAATGGTGACTTTGACGATGGCAATGGTGACGATGACGGCGATACTAGCGATTGCGTTGATGAGGATGATGGAAAATGTGTGCCGCAGAAATCAAGTCATCCCGGGATGCTCTCGGTGCGCGCGCGGAAACGTGAGTGGAGCTGGCATCTGCAATATCGTTTGGTGGTGATGTTGCAGGGAAAGATGACTATGCTGCTGATGGTGATGGTGATGCCAATGCTGGCGCTAACGACGATGATCGTTATTGCGCTGACAAGGGCGATGATGAGAAACGTGCGCCCGCACAATCCAAGCCATCCTGTCATGATCTCGACGTGCGCGCGCGGAAACGTAAGCGTGTGGCTCGCCCGCTTTGAGAGATCGGTGGGTGCACGATTGCGTTTTGACGTCTTCGCGATGCGCGCGCAAGTGGCCACGACGGCCTGAATTTCGAGACTGGCCACATGACGATTTCAATGGGTGCGCGCGCAGGATACTGGCTTTGACCAGCTGTTGTCTAGCCACCTCTTGCAATTGTTGGGCAATCGCTGGCGTTTGACGAATTGACGGGCGCGCGCAGCGGCGCGCGCACGCGCGCGTTGACTTGGTGTTTCGTCGTTGTAGCGACATGTTGAACAATGCCTGTTGAGATAAACGCGCGCGCGAATCATATTGATGACATGGACGAGCGGGGTGAAACACTACCGGCTGGGCTGACTTGGTAAGGCTCGTAGAAGCAATGATCGATGAGGCAAAACACATACGTAAACTGCAGTGTCCCAGGGGCGGGCGATAACCAAAGGGGGGAGGGTTGCGGAGTCTATCTTTCTTTGACAAGAAAACCTAAAGATGCAACTCACCCTGCCGAGCCTGAAAATCGTCAACTCCAGTGCTCGCGCAGTCATCCCACCAGCCCGCTCGCAACTTGGTTTGCAAAAGCCCATGCGGCAGCCACTGCGATGACTGCTTGGCGCAGGCTGGCGCATCGCTGCGGCCGCGCTAGCGCGCGCAGGCTCGAGCGCAGAGCGGCCAGCTAGTCTAGCGCGACCGTCGCGGTGCTGACGCGCGGGCGCTTCAGTGCGGTCGGTGACTTGGGCGGGAGCGGCATCATGGCGACGTCGACAACGGTAGACACCGTCATGATATTTGCGATCCTGGTGACGACGATTACGATGACGAAGGCAAGGGCAATGACGACGCCGATGCTGATCACGCAGATGACGATGATGGTGTCCACGCGTCGGCGACGAAAGTTGCGGATGGAATTCGGCATGCGCGCGCGCGGTCGACGGGCGCGGGTGGCCAGCATGGTATCATTCGACAGGGATCGTGCACCCCCCACCCCCAAGCACGCGCGCAAGGGCGTTCGAATGATTCCAGAATGCGCGCGCGAGGGGCCCGTTTGGTCGCATTGCTGAACAAAAAACTATAGTGTTCTCAAGAATGCGCAAGAGCGCGCACAGACTTCGTCCAAAAAAGCATGCGGTAAAACCATTGATGTCTATTATTAATATAAGGGCGAGCACAGACGCGATTGTATGTATGTATGCAAGTATGTATGTAGGTATGTGTCTGTAATATACATATATCTATACACACGTATATGTGCGTGTGGTGCAAGCTACGCGGCGCTAGCTGCATGCTGTAAAATGCACGGCGTGCTCGAAACAAAACACCATCTGGTGCAATCTACGGTTGCGAACTATGTGCTGCCAGCTGCGTAATATCCTGTGTGTGCTTCCGGATACGCAGGTCACCGCAGGGGCGGCGACGAAGCGGCGACTGGCGCCCACTGCGCGAAAACCTGGTTGAGGTGGCCAGGCATGGGAGCTTCTGGTAGTCGCACGAGCGCCTAGTAGTGCCCGCGCCTGGCATGCCCCCGCCTAGTCGTGCCCGCACGAGTGCCTAGTAGTGCCCGCCTGGGCACAGGAGCTTCCAGTAGTGTCCGCCACTAATCCCGCCAGATCCTACGAAATCCCACTTGCGACCCATCCAAACCACGAAACCCCACTGCACCTCATGAAACCAAAATTTGGAAAAGAAACACGAAAATACAATCTTTGGGTTGGTGGCCACTAAGAGGGACGAGGAGGAAGAAGATGGCGAATCTGATGATGAGGATGAGCACGACGAGGATGATAATACTACGGCGAGGAGTAGGCGGAGGAGGAGAGCAGGGAGTTGGAGGAACACGAGGAAGGGCAGGCGGAGACGAATGGGGTGAGAAGGCGGAGGATGAGAAGCTTCCATACTTGGCCACCCAACCTGGCACACCCAGCCAACGTGCCTAAGAGAGGCCCACGAGCGGCCACTGGGGCGCACCCAGTCAACGTACGAGGCGCCCACAAGGCGCCCACGGGCGGCCGCCGGGCGACAACATGGCACACCAACCGAATTATTTGACTACGGCAGGTTCGTGCGGCGACGACGTCGACGTTGGTTTCTGGAACCACGTCGATCGTTCAAACTTGACACGATCGCGGCACCGATCGTTCAAGGTTGGATAACGTCGGGTCCAATGGCGTCACCGTGTCCCTCGGCGCTTCCGCGTCGCAGAATTCAACCTTGACCGCCTTCGCCGGCGTCGCCTACGGTAAGACAGCAAGAGAAACCCAGACATGCAAGAACTGATTGGGAACAGATAAAAGAGGACAGGGGGTGAAGGACGAGGAGGAAGGTATGTAGTGAGCAGTAAAGGTGGGGAAGCGAGACAAGTGAAGATGCATGATGGTCGGCAGGTGCTGTGTCCCCAATGACAATGCTGTTCTGGTGTGCCCATGCGCCACGTAGGCGCCTGGCTTCTCTGCTGCTGCTGCTGCTGCTGCTGCTGTGGGATCTAGGAAAAGAGGAGGGACAGCGGCAGCGTGGACACACGGCGGTTCACGCACGAACCTCGCTGCCAACCCTGAAATCACCGATCTCGTTTGACGAGCAGAAGGCGTCCTTTCCGAACTCGGCGGTGACCTCAAAACCGGGGGGGAGGATGGCGGCGAGCGAAAAGGTGGTGCGGCCAAATGCCTGCGCGGCGCAAGGTCGCCGGGCAAAAGGCCCGAATCTCTAGGCGCCGGAAGAAGCTGGGGGTGCTTGACGCGCTGGGGACTGGACACGTATACGTGCACGCATGCTCATACACGCATGCAAATGGATGAATGTGCGTGGGTGTGACGTGCACGTGCGCGGGAATAGTTTCACGACGTTGGCAGCGCTTTGAGAGTCGAAGCTGGGACAGTTCAGTGGTTCCGGGCCTTCAGCCACGCGCGAGAAGTAACCCTGGGCAAGAGGGACCTTTGGTGCGCGGTTGGGGGGGGAGGCTAAACCCAAGCGCGCCATCAGCATCTGTTTCATCGCACTCGGCCATCGGTGAGATCCCAGTGGCCCCGCACCAAAGAGAACGATCACTCTGGTGAAGGGCCACTCTTGCGCGTGGCCGACCCAAGGACCCCGATTCAAGGATCCCGTATCGAGCAAACGGGCTCTGAGTGAAACGGGCCCTGGACCCCAGACAGCCCACCAGGACCAGCTACTCGTCCCGAGTCCGTCAAGTGGCGAAGCTGCTTGTCGTGAATCAGCCGTGCCTGGTCGTGTTTCAGTTCTCTCTGGTCGTGTTTCAGTTCCCCTAGTCGTGAGAACACCCGAGCTCTGAGTCCGTCCTGGCGGCCCCTGGGTCCTGGGGTTGGCCCCCCCGGGAGGCCGACAGCGGCGCGACACCCCCGGGAGCCGTTTCTCTCCAGCGCCCGCCCCGTGGCCCCATGGCCATCGGGGACCCCAAACCTGGCCGCCATCGGCACGCCTCCCGCCCTCAAGAGATGAAGCGGCCCCGACATCCCGAAGACATCGGGGCTTGGCCGAAAGCTCCGCCGGCGCCTCCACACACACACACACACACACACACACACATACACACACACACGTGCACCACAACGACTCGCCACCGAGAGTGCAAACCGCCGTCGGCGCGCGGATGCTCGACGTAACACGCGCAAGCACCACACGTGTTTCGTCGGCAGCCACGTGAGCAGCACGGCGGCAACAGAAGGGGTCAGAGACGGGCCGGCGGGGAGCAAAGCGAACGGAGAGGAGAGATGGACCAGGAGAGGCGTCGGCCGGGGTGGGCACAACATTCCATGCCATGTGATAGCTGGCAGTGGTGCCATCGGCGGACAGCACCCCTCGACAGCCGAGGCATTATCAGCTTGCGGCTCGACCTCTGACTTCTCGAAGCTCTCGCCTGCCTCCGAAAGAAACGTGCGGACGAGCTCCCAGTCGGGCTGAGCACGCCCAGCAACAGGCAAGCGGAGATGGATGGCGGTGCTGATCAGGGACGGGGATCGTGTGACGGACTCGAGGGCAGGCGTTGCGGCTTCCTTTGTAAGCAGTTCAGGTCGTATGTTGGAACTGTTCCAGTGCCCGCCTCATAGGAGTCACGGATGCTCGATGCTGAGCTGCTGCAGTCGATGGTTCCATTATGGCGCGCGGGATTAAGGGTTTGCTGTACTTTCACGCTCCCTGCGACGCGGCCCACTTCATCCTGATGCCTCGAAGACTTCTCAATCTTAGTACGCTGGCGGACCCAATCTTGCAGTGAGAATACCAATGTAGCAAGTCAAATCAGCCTTCACTTGTTACGCAACGTATGCCTGCATCCTGAGCACACTTCTGGATGGGCTCAGAGTTCCTTTGGGACTCCGAGCGCGCCACGACCCCCCCCGAATCCGCTCCACCCCTGCTCTGACCTCTCCACCGTAGAACAACCAGAAGATACCCAGACTACCACTACTCCCCAGACCTCTCGCGGGTTGCGTTCTGACCGAAATTTCGAGGCTAATCCAGCGATGGCAACGAGGGCCTACGAGGTGGCACAAGAAGGCGAAAACGAGGAAAGGTTCCCTTATGGTCCCCATTCCTCCTCTGGCAGCCGCCCTTCCAGCCTTCCTGCATGCGAGACTTCCTGTTTGTGCCGATTCGCCATCTCCGGCGCAAGGACTAGTTCCTGCAGCGGATGCGCACGGGCAAAGGGCAAACGGGGAGCGCCGGCGCACTGCGCAGCAGCAGCAGCAGCAGCAGCAGCACGGGCGGGCGAGCTCGACGACGGCCTGGTCGCTCTGCAGAAACCCGAAGCCCTTCTCGCGGTTAAAGCTCACCACCGTTCCATTGTACCTTCGGGTCTCCTCTCTCCCCCCACCCTCCTCTCCCCTGGTGCTTGCTTTCCTCCCCAGCGCCCCCCCCCCTTTTCCGCATCCCCATCACATCCACTCCGCTCCATTCCACCCCCTCCCGCGCCCCTCCCCTCCCCCCGTCCCCCCTCCCCCTCCGTCCATCCTTCCATTTGCCCCGCCCCCCCTCCATCCATCATCATCATCATCATCATCATCATCATCATCATCATCATCATCATCATCATCATCATCATCATCATCATCATCATCATCATCATCATCATCATCATCATCATCATCATCATCATCATCATCATCATCATCATCATCATCATCATCATCATCATCATCATCATCATCATCATCATCATCATCATCATCATCATCATCATCATCATCATCATCATCATCATCATCATCATCATCATCATCATCATCATCATCATCATCATCATCATCATCATCATCATCATCATTATCCTCCCCTGCTGCTCTTCTCCCTCAAGCAGCCCAGCCTGCCCCATCCACTGGCATCCAATCGGCACCATTGCTGCCGCAATCAGCAGGCGCCTTGTGCTGGCCTCCCGGCGGACCCGCCGCCAGTCCACTTCCGCCAGCCTTCCGCCAGCCTACCGCCAGCTTCCGCCGAGGGCGAAGATGCGCCGAAGGCGAGGCTGGTTTCGGAACGCGCCATTATGGCGACCTTTTCTCCTAGGTCCTGGGAGTCCCTGGGGTCGAAGCGAGCGACTGCGAGTAGTAAACAACAACAACATAAACACTCTCCGGGGTCGTACCAACCCTTCGTACATATGAAGCGACTATACATCGGACCGCTCAGTACACAAGCAAACATGATTCATTTTCGCGGCATCACTCTTAAGAGTCAGATCGTTGGCAGGAGGGCGACCACGAAGGGGGCGTGGAAACATACTGATGAAGGAGGAACTGGAGACATGCTTCGTGTGGAGTAACAGCGCATCGCGCTAGGTTCTCATTGCATAAAAGCGCCATGCGCGCTATGACAGAACAGCGCCCTGCGCTAAGCGCTGCAAGTGCCCGAGTGCACTACGGACAGGAGACAACTGAAGACTCAATGCGGCATGGGCACATGACAGCGCCATGAGCTCCGCGGCACCCCATCCCTCTGCGATCTGCGATCAAACAGCTCAGCGCGCTATGTGACGGGACAGACCAGCACGCGCTGTGGGAGCTCCCGCCATTGCAGATCGCAAACCCCCAGGGGGCGGCGAGGTCTCGTGGCGATCCGCGTATGACGTCACTCCGCTGTCCCTCCCAGAAGCTCACGAACGTGGCGACAATTTCGCAGATCGCAGCCCGGCGAGGTCTCGTGGTGATCTGCGTGGGACACACCTCCGCTGGACCTCCCAGGAGCCCACGAAAGTAGCGACGGTTTCGCAGATCGCAAACCCCCAGGGGGCGGCGAGGTCTCGTGGCGATCCGCGTATGACGTCACTCCACTGTCCCTCCCAGAAGCCCACGAAAATGGCGACGGTTTCGCAGATCGCAGCCCCCCAGGGGGCGGCGAGGTCTCGTGGTGAACCGCGTGGGACAGGGACACCCCTCCGCTGGACGCCCCGGAGCCCGCGAAAGTGGCGACAATTTCGCAGATCGCACCCCCCCAGGGACGGCAGGGTCTCGTGGTGATCTGTGTGGGACACCCCTTCGCTGGACCTCCCAGGAGCCCACGAAAGTGGCGACAATTCCGCAGATCGCAGCACCCCAGGGACGGCGAGGTCTCGTGGTGACCCCCGCGGGGCGGCGAGGTCTCGTGGTGATTCGCGCGGGACAGGGACACCCCTCCGCTGGACGCCCAGGAGCCCACGAAAGTGGCGACAATTCCGCAGATCGCAGCCCCCAGGGACGGCGAGGTCTCGTGGTGATCCCGTGGGACAACCCTCCGCTGGACCTCCCAGGAGCCCACGAAAGTGGCGACGGTCTCGCAGATCGCAGCCCCCCATGGACAGAGAGGTCTCGTGGTGATCTACGTGGGACACCCCTCCGCTGGACTCCCAGGAGTCTTCTAAAGTGGCGACGGTTTCGCAGATCGCAGCCCCCCAGGGACGGCGAGGTCGCATGGTGGTCCCCGCGGGACACACCTCCGCTGGACCTTCCAGGAACCCACGAGAATGGCGACGGTTTTGCAGATCGCAGCCCCCCAGGGACGGCGAGGTCTCGTGGTGATCCCGTGGGACACCCCTCCACTGGAGCTCCCAGGAGCCCACGAAAGAGGGGACGGTTTTGCAGATCGCAGCCCCCCCAGGAGACGAGAGGTCTCGTGGTGATCTGCGTGGGACACCCCTCCGCTGGACCTCCCAGAAGCCCACGAAAGTGGCGACAATTTCGCAGATCGCAGCCCCCCCAGGGACGGCGAGGTCTCGTGGTGATCTGCGTGGGACACCCCTCCGCTGGACCTCCCAGGAGCCCTCAAGAATGGCGACGGTTTTGCAGTGATCTGTGTGAGACACCCCTCCGCTGGATCTCCCATGAGCCCACAAAAGTGGCGGCAGTTTCGCAGATCGCAGCCCCCCAGGGACGGCGAGGTCTCGTGGTGATCCCGTGGGACACCCCTCCACTGTCCCTCCCAAGAGCCCACGAAAGTGGCAACAGATTCGCAGACCGCGGGCACGAGGCAGGAGGCAGAAGGCAGGCGGGAGGAGAGAGGAAGAGGAGGGAGAAGGGGGGAGGCGGGAGGAGGGGGAGGAGAAGAAGGAGGTGGAGACCACAGTGCCCCATTCAAAACGAGAACCCGATCAAGGGAGGGTTGGGGACACAACTTTTGGAGCTACGCGCGGAATTCTTGGGATCGGCGCTGCCCCTCCTACCTGGCGCGCGGAGCGCGCGCCGCCAGAGGGGCCCAGCGCCGATCCCAAGAAATCCGCGCGGAGCTTCGACAGCTGTTTCTCCTTCGAGCGGTGCAGGGGGGGGAAGGGCGCCTTGGGATCGGCTCCTCCTCGATCACCTTCGCCAGGAGCTCGCGAAAATCCGGCCGCAGCGAGATGAAGAGCTGGACAGCCTCTTCATGGCGGGCTGGGCACCACAGGAAGCATGCTGAAACACACGCACACACAAACACACACACACACACACACACACACACACACACACACACACACACACACAACAATCGCACTCCCCTGCGACGAACGAAGGTGACACTGAAATGCAACAACCAAGCCCAGAGCCACGCAAGGACCAACCAACCAGGCAAGGACCGACCTAGACAGCACAGAAAGCATCTGCATCACGATCAACTTTGTGAGCCCACCCACAGATACCTCGGGTTGGCGCTAGGCCCGTCGCCACGGGGTGTCCAATGCCGACCCAAGGAATCTGGGCGGACCTCCGAAAGACTACAGATGTGTTGCAGAACTGTCTTCTTAGAGTAGAGGGAGGGAGCCTGGTCGCCTGGAGAGCCAGCTAGCATGGGGACGTGGAGGCCCCCTGGCAAAATATCGGCGGGCTTTGATACCTCGAACTCGCACGAAGCTTCAAGACCCCGACACGAGAAACTCGGGCTGCGATCCGCGCATCGTGCGAGCGCGTCAGTGTCACAAGACACAGCCAAACTCCAGAACCACCGCACCCTCGTAACCGACCTGGACCTGGAGGCGGCCGGGGGGGTCTGAACCAGGACCCCAGAAGCTCGGCCAGGAGGGGGGATGCGGCCAAACCCGCTCAAAATCCATCCTGGGCACCATCTGGTGCAGTCCGTCCCCCCGCTCCTCCTCCTCCTCCTCCTCCTCCTCCGCCTCCTCCTCCTCCTCCTCCTCCTCCTCCTCCTCCTCCTCCTCCTCCTCCTCCTCCTCCTCCCCCTCCTCCTCCTCCTCCATCCGTTCTTCGCAATCCCAGGGCCCGGAAACAGCCCCCGGAGACCAACAAAAGGCCATCACCCGCGACGTGCCCAACCCCTTCTCCACGCAATGCGTCTGTCCACATGAGCGCTCCATACATACGAACATATTGCGGAACAAATGCAGCACTCTGAAATTCTTCGCCAAACAATGTCGGCGGGCCGCCCGCGTCGCACACCTGAGCAGGAGTGGGCCACTGAGGACAGCGCCGTGGAGGACACCTGCGAAATCCTCGTCGACCGATGATAATTCCCTGTAGATTGGTATTATGTGGATGGATCGGCAACCCCGCCCCCGCCGCATTATTACGGTTCTGGAAAAAGTGAATCCGTGATCAAGATGCCGACAGAATGAACCAGTGTTGTGCCCAGTCCAGACCCTCTTCTTAGGCGCTCCCCCTCGCTCCATTATATCACTCCGGAATGGCAGACCCGAGCTTCTCATTCCTATAACAGTGCAAGCCTCAATTTACAATTGCTCTGAGATAACTAACTGGGGTCAATATTCGAACAAGATGAGTCCCAATCTGGAGCCCAGGGGTTGAGGGGACATAGTAATTACTAACATTACCGAAAAATAAACCCGGAAGCAGCATTCCCGGTTTTAGCTCAATCGACGACGCCCCCTGGGCTCCATTATTATCATTCCGGAATAAGAAACCTGGGTGCGTCATTCTCAGAACATTGCGAACCCCAGTTCATGTTCCGGAGGTGATGAAACGGGGTCAATACTCGAAGATAATGAATCCATGTCTCGAGCGCAAGGATTGGGGGGGAAGTGCACAGGATACGATTCCAAAATAATGAACCCAAATTCATCATTCGGGGGGTCCGAGAATCCCCGCCCCAAAAACATTGTGAACCCGGGTCCATAACGTTCCGGGGAGCATTATGAACCCCAGTGAAAATTCCCGGAACAACATAAACCCAAGTTTGTAATGTTCCGGGCCCGGGGGAACTTATGGACCCCAGTCAGCATCCCCAGACAGTTATGAACCCAGCTTAATATTTTTTGGGGGTCCATCCTGGCGCCGTGCGCAACGTGACGTTTGGGCACTCTGTGCTCTGTGATGCAGCGCCGCGCCCCAAATGACGCGACGGCGCCACGCGCCATGCGGGCACGCGCCATGCGGGCGCCGTACACTCCGCCGTGCCTCCCAGAAGCCCATCAAGGTGGCGACAGTTGCGCAGTTCGCAGCCCCCGAAGGAGTCGCGAGGTCTCAAATGATCAGATGCTCTCGATTCCGTGGTGCCATTCAGAAGCCCACAGAGGAGGCGACACTTGCGCAGTTCGCAGCCCCCGAGGGGGTCCGCGAGGTCTCAAATGATCTGCGTTGCGCTCGACTCTGTGGTGCCTCCCAGGAGCCCACGACAATGGCGACAATTGGTCAGTTCGCAGCCACCAAGAGAGCCACAATGTCTCAAATGATCTGCGTTGCCCTCGACTCACTGGTGCCTCCCAGGAGCCCACGAAAGTGGCAACAGTTGGGCAACTCGCAGCCCCCAAAGGAGCCGCGAGGTCTCGTCTGGATGCGCGTACAACCTCACTCCGCTAGACCTTCCAGGAGCCCCCGAAAAGTGGTGACTGTTGCACAGTTCGCAGCCCCCCAGGGAGCCGCGAGGTCTCGGCTGGGTGCGCGCATATCCGCGGGACCTCCCAAGAGCCCACGAACGTGGTGGCCGCTGCGCAATTCGCAGCCACCTGGGGGTCTCGTTTGGATGCGAATATAAGTCCACCCAGCATGACCTTCCGTGAGCCCACGAAAAGGGTGACTGTTGTGCAGTTCGCAACCACCCACGAAGCCGCAAGGTCTCGTCTGGATAAGCGTAAAACTTGATTCCTCTGGACCTCCCAGAAGCTCACGAAAGCGGTGACGGTTGCCTAGTTCGCAGCCTCCCAGGGCGTCCCAGGGAGCACAGCGCCGGAGGAGGCAGGAGGAGGGGGGAGGAGGAGAGGAGTGGCGACCACAGTGCCCTATCCAACTCGGGAACCCAACACAGGAGCGTTGGGACAAAAAACACCCTCCCGAACCCGTGGCCTCGAACCTGCCCGCCCTGCTCGTCTGACCAGGAGCAGTGCCAGCACATCTCGGGCCTCCAGACGGTCCCAAACCCGGACCCTCGCTGCTGCTGCCCGGACACACGCGGGGACGGGCCTCGCCCGCGGCCGACCTCGGCGCGGGCGCGGCCGCCCGCGGCCGCCCGCCGTGCCGAGCAGCGCCTGGCAAGAGCGCCGCTGGGGCGGGGCGGCAGACCCTGGGGCCCCCGCGCCGCGGGGCCGAACGTCACGGCAAGCGGGGCGCATCGGGCCCGGCCGCGGGCGGGCATGCCAGCCAGGGCACCTCGGTGCCCGCTGGCCCGTCAGGGCCCCTTGGGCCCAGACCCCCGACGTCATGGTTTGTTCATGGCGTCGACGCTCGGAAGTCCCGACCCATTCGCTGGGAGCGGGTTGTACTTCCGTGCCCCAGGGGCAGAAAGTAGCGAAAGACCCGCCGTCGTGATTATTCTCGTAGCCGAGAGAGGGTCTGGTGACGAGGCGGTCGCGGGAGGCGACAGGAAGCTGGGCGCCGAGGGTGCGTGGGCGGTCCCGCCCGCGGCCAAATTCGTAGCGGTGACGGCCGCAACCCTAGGGGCCGGCCGAGAGAGGTCTGCTCCGGGAGCGGGCACAGATGCCGAAGGTCAGCGGCGGCTGGGGCAGCGCTCGGCCGAGGCCGACCAGTGCGCCCTACTCCTGGGAGCAGCAGGCCGCAGAAGAGCCACCCTCACAAGAGGCACCCCTGCAGGCGGAGTCCTATCGTGAGCGTGCCTGAGGGAGGGATCGGGTACAGAAGCCGAAGGTCAGCGGCGGCAGGGGCAACGCTCGGTCGAGGCCGACCAGTGCGCCCGACTCCAGGCCGCAGAAGAACCACCCTCACAAGAGGAACCTCCTACAGGCGGAGTCTTCCCGTGAGCGCACCGGAGGGAGGGATCAGGCAGGACAGGACTGCACAGTAATGTGGACGCGCAGACCTGGTCAGGAAATGCCAGTTGCGACGGGTGTCCGGGTACTGGGTATGGTCAGCGGGGCGGCGCGACGGACCCTCCGAGCCTGTGCCGCCGCCCTGTCCGTGGCCGCGGTCCTGAGCGGAGCTCCGACGTGGAGGCGAGGGGGGAGGAGCGCATCCGGCGGCGGGAGGGGGCGGGCGCACGCTTCCCCCTCCCTCCTCTGCCTCTGGTCCCCGAGCAAACCCCATCCCAGTCGCTTTCCTCCTCCTGACATCGATGCTGCTGACATCAGGTCGGCATCAAACGCTGACATCCCCCCATATGGGGTCCTAGGGGAGTTCGCCCCGGCAGGGGCTGATCGAGATAGCGGTCTGCAGTAGAACAAACATGATGATGAAACCCGGGGGCGGGGTCCTTCCCTGCCCGGGAGGGAGGGAATGGAGAAGGGATCGACGGGACGGCGCGACGACCTCGCGGATGCAGCACGGCAGCGCACGCGGGAGAAGGATCGAGCGCGGGCCGCACCCTCCGAGGGGACAAAGCGATCCATCTCGGCGCGCCTCTCTAAGAGCAGTAGGGGGCCACACGTCCCAACCATACCAGAGAAGCGCAGGGGCGAGGCGTCCTCCTGGCACGGGCAGTCTGCCAGCGATCGTGCAAGCAGCGCGAGAAGCAGCCAGTTGCGACGAGCCAGCTGCGCGGAGCCGAAAGCTACAACAATTTGAGGATGAAGCGCAGGGTGGAGGAGCATAGTGGGGCGGACCCGGCACGTCTTGACGTGGTTGGTAAGTGGCAGCAGAAAAGAAAACTGATGGCGCCTTCGTTGGGCGTTGGAGGGGGTCGGAAGACGCCGCTTGCATCTGGCAGGTTGCAGCGGCGTGGGAGGCAGGTGAGAAGGAGAAGGGAGGAGCAAGCGGGGTCCTGATGGCGGGTCCCGAACATGGCACCCGCTCCCCGAGAGCGAGGCGGGGGCCACCTCGGGTGTCCAGCGGAGGCCTGAATTGGCACGTTCTTGGTCCACGGCCACGTTTGCAGCCCCTGCTGGAGGCCCCCCCCCCCGCCGGTGGCAGAGATCATTCGTCCAGCGCCCTGGAGGCAGGAGCTGAACAAAGAACGACATGTGGCGCCAGTGGGAGTGGGACAAGGAAGGTCGTGTCGGACGTGGCTCATCGGTTGGC